GTTTTGTTTTGTTTTGTTTTTCCAGATGGGGTTTCTCTGTGTAACAGTCCTAGCTGTCTTGGAACTTACTTTGTAGACCAGGCTAGCCTCGAGCTCACAGAGATCTACCTGCTTCTGCCTCCCGAGGGCTGGGATTAAAGGCATACGCCACCATGCATTTGATTGCTTTTAATGTACTATGTTTATTCTTTGAGAATTTCATACGTACATGCAATGTATTCCTTCCTTCCTCCTCTCCCAGTTCCTCTATATCAATCCTCAACCCTATGCCTCACTCTCCATTATGAGGTTTTTTTTTTTTGTTTTGTTTTGTTTTTATAACTCATCGGATCCAATTTGTGTTTCCTGTATATCCGTGGGTATGAATGAGGCCATCCACTGGAGGATGGTCAACCTACAGAGGCAACGTCTTTAAAGAAAACTGACTCTCCCTAGACCAGAAGCCATCAATCGTCCATAGCTCCTCAGCTAGGGGTGGAGGCTCAGGAACCCTTACCCACTCCATGTTGAAAAGCTGGCTGCTTGATCTTGTGCAGGCGACCACAGCTGTTGTGAGTACCCGAGTGCAGCTTCCTGTCATGTTCAGAAGACACTGTTTCGTTTAGTCCTCTCTGGTCTCTGGCTCTTACAGTCATTCCTCCCCCTTATCTGTTCTGTTCCTGAGCCTTAGTGGGAGGAGTTGGCTGGCTTTCTTAGTATGAAACTTACTTACCATGAAACTTAAGCTGGGCTTGAACTTTTGGTCCTCCTGCCTCAGCCATGCAAGTGTTGGGAGTATAGGTGTATGCCGTCATATCCTACTCATCAGTTACTTCCTGTCCATATCCTCTTCTGCTAATTTCCACACGTATCACTGTGAGTTCTTTGTTGTTATCATTATGTATCCTCACCAAAGACTTTATATTAAACTTGTGGGGTGTATGGAGGCCCATGTGTGTTACCTTAGGGGGAGTCTGTGAGGCTTCCCCTGGTGGGCTATGTATGGTAACTAGATACTGGTAATCACAATATGTTACCTATTTGAAAGCTGAAGTCATTTAGTCATAGAGCCTTTAGTGACTTCTGTAACAGAGTAATGGATACAGGTAGTATACAGATGATGTCTTGACTAAAAAATTCACTCAAGAAATTGTAAAGGAACAAGTAAGGAAGAAATAGTATGGGTAGGAATTGAGGTCATAACCAAAGAATAAAGATAATAAGTTAGCATTTTTTTTTAATCCAGGGCCTCCCTATCTAGCTCAGGCTGGCCTTGAACTTGGAATCCTTCTGCCTCTGCTCCTCACTGCTGAGATTATAGGCATGAGCCTCCACACCAACCTAAGATAACTTTGTGAAAACCCTGATGTAACATACTGACCTAGTGATTCATCTAAAAGCATAGACTACATATTTTGACAAAATATAAACAAATAGGTATGAAATTAGAATAGCCAAGCCTGGGGGAGGGGTGGTTTGTCAAGGTCATCAAGGGGGAACCCCCAGAGACAACTGATCTGGGCTCGTGGGAGCTCACAGACTCTGGACCAATGACTAGGGAGCCTTTGGTCAACCTCAGTCCTCTACATATGTATGACAGTTGTGTAGCTTGATCTATGTGTGGGGCTCCCAGTGGTGGAAGCTGGACCTGTCCCTAATGCTCTGGCTGGTTTCCAGGAACATGTTCCTCATACTGGGTTGCCTTGCTCAGCCTTAGTACAAGAGGAGACACTTGGGCCTACCTCAACTTGATAGGCCATGTTTGTTAACACCTGTAGGAGGCCTGCCCCTTTCTGAGATTAAATGGAGAAGGAGTTGATTGGGGAGCAGTGAGGGGGGAATGGGAGGAGAGCACAGAGGGGAAACTTTGATTGGGATATAAAATAAATGAATACATTTAATTAATTAAAAATAAAACAGCTAAAGCCTTTTACCATTAAGGGCAAGCAAAAGTTTTCAATTTTACTGGGCATAGTGGCATACTGAACACGCAGGATGCTGAAGCAGGTAGATCTCTATAAGTTCAAATCCAGCCAAGTCTATATAGTGAGTTCCAGGCCAGCCAAGGCTACATAGTTGAGACCCTGTCTCAAATAAACAACGAAAAGTTTTCAATTTGACAATGACTCTGTTTATTCAATTTGATGAAGACAAGCCACACAAACCACAAGAGAAAAGAATGGATAAATTTGATAATTAAAAAGGAAAGTCTTGCTGGGCTGTGGTGGTGCATGCCTTTAATCCCAGCACCTGGGAAGCAGAGACAGGTAATCTCTGTGAGTTCAAGGCCAGCCTGGTCTCCATAAGTGAGTTCCAGGACAGTCAGAACTATACACATAGAGACCTATGTAGAACTATGTCTCAAAAAGGGGGAAAGGAGTCTCCAGTGTAAAAATAGAAACCACAAACAAAGCAAAATGATAATCACTGAGATCCTGGAGAAAATGATAATGGTGCATATAACCCACAAAGGGAATTTGCAAAAGATATTAAGTACCCTACAGAGTGAGGTCCAGGACAGGCACCAAAACTACACAGGGAAATCCTGTCTTGAAAAAAACAAAAAACAAAAAACAAGGGCTGGAGAGATGGCTCAGGGGTTAAGAGCACTGGCTACTCTTGCAGAGTTCCTGAGTTCAATTCCCAGCAACCACATGGTGGCTCACAACCATCTGTAATGAGATCTGGTGCCCTCTTTTGGCCTGCAGGCCAAACACCCACTGTATACATAATAGATAAATAAATCTTAAAAAAGAAAAAAAAAAGAAACAAAACAAAAAAGACAGACAGACAGACAGACAGAGACAGACAGACAGACAGAAACAACAGACTGGCAAAACAGACAGTTGTGACAACAATAAGTCCTGGTGAGGGGGTGGGCAATCAAAAACTAGTGCATCTTTGGAAGGCAATTTAGGAATATCTAATGAAACTCTTTGCAGATCAAAAACTGCAGCACTTCTAGGTATGCACATTTGAGAAATGTGCATCCCCACGTACAAGGGCACACACATTTGAAAGCTCACAGAAATCCTGTAACAGCAAACAAGTGGGCATGATGAAAATGGCCAGGTTACAGTCCATCAGAATGCTATGCTATGCAGTTCACATGTATGTACAGGAGCTTCTGAATCTCTGTAGTTCCCTCACCTGCTGCTGGGGACTGAACGCAGGACCTCTCACATGCTAAGCATATCCGCTGTCATTGAGCTACACCTCTCAGACCTTGAGTCTTTGTAGTTTTTTTTTTTTTTT